CCGTTCCACGTATCCATCACTCACCAACTCATTCTCGCTGACTACACCATCAGAACCCTCAGTGTTGAGGTAGAAAAAAACGTTTCCTGTAAAATTGGTTTATTAACTGAGAAAGCTTGCTGGCTGTGTATTTCATAAAGCATTGATTAAAGAACCGTGGAAAAACATGTTGCACACAAACGTTGACCACGAAAGGAACATTCCCTTCATATGGAGGTCACATTGAAATTTCTATGAATGCGTTAGGATTAATGCCGATGATCCTCCCTCTATATTATAGTTCTCAGGGAAGACGAGGAAGGTGACTCATTTCCACTACACAGCCTGGCCAGACCACGGAGTACCTGACTATGCCACCTCCATGCTCAACTTCCATAAGGTTGTCCTCAGAGACCACAAGGCCCAGAGAGGTCCTCTACTTGTGCACTGTAGGTGAGGTTTATATTGTGGCCCTTGCAGTGTTTTGTGTACATTTGTTTAACGAAGATAGCTTGAAGGTCTGCTTAGTAGGTATGTTTTTCCAAAGATAAATGTCAATGTAGAGCCTTCCTTGCTGTGTGGGCATACTCAATCTGCTATCATTTCGTATCCCACTATCACCATATATACACATAATAAGTGGCCATTGTCAGTGTATTGCTCTCCTCTGTAGTGCTGGTGTTGGTAGGACAGGGACATTCATAGCCATAGACCATGTCCTGGAGCAGAGGGAGACAGAGGGAGTGGTGGACATCCCTGGAGTGATCCTCAAACTCAGACAACAGAGAACCAAGATGGTTCAAACTCTGGTACACACACATTGCAATGTTTTTCATTAGTACGTACCTGCACCTCCCAAACTTTGTGCACACTTTTTGTAGGCTATTCTTTCACTTTTCGTATACAGTTATTCTCGCTGTGAAATGCAGCCATGTTTGTCATTTTTACATCTCTCCCAGTGTTTTTTTTTCTGGGTTATTGTTTCACCTTGAGATGCAGTTTGCCCCGCATAATGTTTTCAAGTTCACTGTATACTTTCATTCTGAGATAACTGGCCACACTTGATGTTGTTTGTTCCAGGACCAGTACATCTTCATCCATGATGCCATACTGGAGTCAGTCACGTGTGGAGACACTGAGATCAAAGCTGCTGATTTGAGGAGGAAACTGGTCAAACTCAAGAGAAAGGACGATTCTGGACTTTCTGGACTTGACCTTCAGTTTGCCGTAAGAGGGCTTTTGGTTCTTCAATCCCCACTCATACCTATAAGGAAAAACAACCCACTCATACCTATAATGTACACCATGAACAATAACGCAGATACTGGACCAAGTGAGCGGAAATGTAGGAGATGCGCAGTCCGTTGCTGCCCGAAACGACCCCACCAAGAATAGATCTACTGATTTCCTGCCAGGTTCTCCCCCCCACATCTTTCTTAATTTTTTATATCCATCGTGTGCCTGTCTTCCTTTATATAACACAAGTGGACAAATGGAGAGTTGTTTTGAAAGGAGAAAATCCAGACTACATACATGCCACCAATATCCGCGTAAGCACCCAACACCCAAGTGTTTGTCTATGGAGCCACAAGGGTGTTTCCTCCCTATGTAGGGCTACAAGCAGCAGAGAGCGTTCATCATCACCCAAGGGCCGATGCGCTCCACTGCCAGAGACTTCTGGAAGATGGTCTACAGAAGGAAGTGTAGTGTGGTCGTCATGCTATCAGACCTAGTTGAACAGAATGAGGTGACACCTTCAAAAACATTTTTACTTCTTCAAGATTAGTATTGTATTGTCCCTGAATCCCGAATAATGGACACTTTAGCTACTTATAAACTAACTGTCTAACAAGGGCACACTATGGCATGGCATTTACATCTCCACAAGCTTAATGCTACCTGACAATATCTCTAGGCTGAAGCTTCTTGTGCTTATTCCAGGAGGTATGCTACCAGTATTGGCCAGAGAAGAGGACTCAGAGCTACGGAGAGTTCAGTGTAGAGCTGCTGAATGAGGAGAGGAAGAGAGGGTTTTTACTCAGGACTTTATCAGTTCAGGAAGCCAAGGTAAATGTAGAAAGAGAGGTGGAGAATGAGACAGATGCGTGACTGGTAAATGGTATATAAGAGATGCTTTCTTTTCGTGGTCCTAGTCCGGTACAGCCCATCAGGTGTGGCAGTTCCACATCCCAGAGTGGAGCTCAGACTACCAGTGGCGTGGGGATGTGAATGCCATGGTCTCTGTCATAGAGGAAGTCTCCAAGGTCCAGAGGAAGACTGGGAACCACCCCATTGTTGTCCATGGACTGTGAGTTTTAGATGCCCACGTATGCAGCAGACTAAATGTGTCACAATCTGGCGTGGCCATTTGCACCATTATTTGCATTCTCTTTTCAATTATCTTCAGTAACACAGTGAGTAGATCTGCCATATTCTGTGGTGTGGCCACCACCATTGAGAGGTGTAAGACAGAGGGAGTGGTGGATGTGTTCCAGGTGGTCAAGGCCATGAGAGTTCAGAAACCTGGAGCCATACAAACTTTGGTATGATTACTAGCATTTATAAATGTTGATGCACACACATTTTTCCACTTGCAGGAACAGTATAAGTCGATCTTTGAAGCTCTGTTGGCGTATATTGACTCATTTGAAACATACTCAAATTTTGCTTCTTAGACGTGTTGTAGCTATAAGCTTATGCAACGCAATTGTTGCCAAGTGTGTATTAGTTTTAGTTCACTTCATGATGTTATTAAACTCCAGAGACCCTGGAAGGTTGCAATGCCTTGCACGTCAACTGCCGAGGCGCATGCGGGAAAGTCCAGGCCTTGGGGAGTTGACTTCTGGAGGATGGTGTGGCAGGAGAGAGTGCCATCAGTGGTGATGATCACCAACCTGGTGGAGGGGAAGAAGACAAAGTGTGAGCAGTATTGGCCGTCCTCTGGGTCTCAGGATTTCGGGCCGTTCCACGTATCCATCACTCACCAACTCATTCTCGCTGACAACACCATCAGAACACTCAGTGTTGAGGTATTAGATTACTGGGTCCACATTTTGCACAGGGAGTAGATCAGTTAGTTACTGGCCAAGTCTAGTATCATTATAACAGTAAATTTGATACCCCATAGCAGAAGATTATTATGTATGTAGTGCAAGAGAAACAAAGAGGCCTGAACCAACTTGGAAATAATAATAGGCACACATACACACTCTCTGTATCCTTCTCCTGCTAATAAGATGTACTTTTTGTTCCTGTCAGTATCACCACCTAATTTTGTTCCATTTGGTGTTTCTTACCATCCCTATACCCCACTTGAAGTATCTCTGCTGGCTGCAGCTCTCAGGGAAAACAAGGAAGGTGACTCATTTCCACTACACAGCCTGGCCAGACCACGGAGTACCTGACTATGCCACCTCCATGCTCAACTTCCACAAGATGGTTATGAAAGACCACAAGGCCCACAGAGGTCCTCTACTAGTGCACTGTAGGTAAGGTCAAAAGAACACGGCATTTAGGAGATGATTTCCTCTTTCTTTCAATTCAATGTGACATCGCTGTGTTGCACATAGTGTGGCTGGTGTATTACGTTGCCACAAACACATTGTTGTCCATGAACTTGCAGTTGTTGTCCAAGTTTTCCTTTCCTATAACATTGCAATATTCCCAAGTGTTTATCATGTGTTGTGCATAATTGCCGAGTCAAACTTGGGGGATACCCCCAGTTAAACCCGGTGCAATGACCCCCTGGTATATGTTCTCTCCTCTACAGTGCTGGTGTCGGTAGGACAGGGACATTCATAGCCATAGACAATGTCCTGGAGCAGAGGGAGACAGAAGGAGTGGTGAACATCCCTGGAGTCATCCTCAAACTCAGACAACAGAGAACCAACACGGTCCAGACTCTGGTATATACATACACATTGCATTGTCAACCTACCTTTAGCACAGTACAAACACATTTGATAAAAAGTGCTCCCCTTAAATCTCTCTGCCTGTCTGATGTGTTTTGGTAATTTTGTTGTGCATACGTTCAGCTTTCAAATTTTCAAAGTCACGTTATTATGTAATGTGTTTTCTATTGCTTCACTGTGTCCTTTTTTCAGGACCAGTACATCTTCATCCACGACGCTATACTGGAGTCAGTCACATGTGGAGATACTGAGATTGAGGCTGGAGACCTGCGGAAGAGACTGGTTCAACTCAAGAACCAAAGACGAGTCTGGTCGCTCTGGACTTGACCTACAGTTTGCCGTAAGATTGCTCTTAACAGTACACGCAAACAATTCAACTGCACCCAGAAATTGTCCAAGTGGTTTGGACGGAAAATTCGCTTTAAGGGCTTATAACGTTCTACCTGCTGAACTTCCAGGGCAGAGGCAAACCCCATTGTGGATGGTAGCAGAAAAAGTCTTGAGTACACTTTGTTAAACCATATTGTATCTTTGATGAGTGTATTGATGAAATTATGCAGATACTGGACCAAGTCAGTTCAAACGTAGGAGAGGCAAAGTCATTTGCTGCACAAAACAACCTCGCCAAGAATAGATCTACTGACTTCTTACCAGGTTATTTCCCAACACACATCCTAATGTGCTACCCAAGTGACCTGTGTTCCCTTCCCAAACACACAGTGGACAATTGGAGAGTTGTTTTGAAAGGAGAAAATCCAGACTACATACATGCTAGCAGTGTCCATGTAAGAAACTGTTGCTCTATCAGTGTTTCTATTGAAAGAGGTAGGCCCAGAGCAATGTATTCCCCATGCTGTGTCTGCAGGGCTACAAGAAGCACAGGGCGTTCATCATCACCCAAGGACCGATGCGCTCCACTGCCAGAGACTTCTGGAAGATGGTCTACAGCAGGAAGTGTAGCGTGGTCGTCATGTTATCAGACCTCATTGAACTTGATGAGGTGCACGACGCATTTCTATATGATGGTGATGTGTTTTAACCTCTGTAATAGACTAGATTTGATTGTACTAAGCACTTGCTTGCACAAGAGCGTCGTAAACTTCTGCTTGTGAAGTGAAAGATGAAAGATGAAAAATCAAACCACAATCCACTGAATCTGCCCCACTCAATGGTGTAAACTCTATTTTTAGCTTGAGAGTTGTGTTTCATTAAGAGGTGACGTAATCGTTTGTTGTATACCAGGAGGTGTGCTACCAGTACTGGCCTGGGAAGAGAGCACAGACATATGGAGAGTTCAGAGTAGAGCTGCTCAGTGAGGGGTGGAAGAGTGGATTCTTATTCAGAAACTTCTCTGTCCAGCAGGCCAAGGTTAGCAAAATAAGATGAAGGGGAGTTCAGTTCGTAGCTCTTTACACTGTGCAATACATGCAGTTATTGATTTGAACTTGCAGTTTGCCACAGCCCATCAGGTGTGGCAGTTCCACATCCCAGAGTGGAGCTCAGACTACCAGTGGCGTGGGGATGTGAATGCCATGGTCTCTGTCATAGAGGAAGTCTCCAAGGTCCAGAGGAAGACTGGGAACCACCCCATTGTCGTCCATGGACTGTGAGTTTTAGCTAGCGGATCATAGCTAGCGGATCATATCTGTTTTATCAAGCAGTCTATTGGATAAAGAAAGCTGCAAAGCAAATGCAAGTCATGATATACAACAATCCAAACCCATATTCAATACTGTGTCATGCATTGCTCAGTGAGCCAATGTAAAACAGTAAACAGGGTAATACCTCCATCATTACAAGCATGCAACTGGTGCCCTTTTAAAAAAATTTGTCAAACATGCATAGAGTTCATCTTTACTGTCATTGTAGGTGTTAGTGTAAGCAAAGTGACAGAACATGTGTTTTAGACATGTGTTTTGTGTATTACACAGTGACACAGTGAGTAGATCAGCCATATTCTGTGGTGTGGCCACCACCATTGAGAGGTGTAAGACAGAGGGAGTGGTGGGTGTGTTCCAGGTGGTCAAGGCCATGAGAGCTCAGAAACCTGGAGCCATACAAACTTTGGTATGTGTATAGCTATTAAAGACCTTTGCATTTACTGAACAGGTGCTTTTTCAACAGGAACAGTATCAGTCAATTTATGAAGCTCTTTTGGTGTTCATTGACTCATTTGAAACATACTCAAATTTTACAACATAAGCTTAGTTTTTATATTATCGTCATATCAGGTTTTATGGTGTTGCGGTAGCTACTACACGTTGCGCGGTGGTGTATAAGTGCGAGCGCATGCGTGAAACCCTTGTGCTGTGCGTGGGCGAAGGTCATCACGCGCTATAATTGGCGAGCGGGAGCGAGCCAACCGTTGTTCGAGCGGAGACCGGCGTCGTGTAAGTGCGCATGCGCGGCTTTGTACGCGCTTCTTTTTATCCGAAACTATTTCCAAATTTTTTACACATTTTCACACACGGTGCCTCGCGCCGATCGATCTAGCCAGCTAGAGAACTCTCCTCCATTCGACGGCATGCGCTGCAACCTTCGGTGTCTGACCGAGGCTGTACCTCTTCCCAATCTTCATGGTTCCAAGGTGCAACTTGCAAATACGCTAGCATTGCTCGTGCACCCTGGTGGACCACTACTGAGCTGAAAGCGTAAGGTAAGTACCGTTCTGCTCACCTGCTCACCGTTCTGATACGCATGCAACGGCGACAGGTAGATCTGTCTTGCTTCACGAAAGGAAGGCTGTGCGCTGACGGCACGTTATGCAGCCCGAACATCGCGGGCAAATCTCAAGTTGGGTCGCTCCCGCTCGCCAACAGTGTTCAACATTTACACTAGTATTATTATACTCGACTCTGCGCAGGTTTTGTGCCGTAGCTGCTGCGCTTAGACAATAATAAGTGAAAACCCTCGGCGAACTGCGCATGCGCGGTACGCTGTGGCTTCTTGTGCACGCGGAGCAAGCGGATCAGGTCGAGGTGAGCCAGCATACTGCGTTGATTGCGTCTAATACATGCATGCGCACCGCTTATTGATGGGTTGGGCCACGCAACGCTGTCCGCGACCGTGTCAGTCTGTCGCTCTCGAACACAGTCGTTTCAGCAAAATTTTATTTTTTAGTCCATGTATATACCGCTAAAGCTGTTGGTATCGCTCATAAGAAAATGGTATGTCAAGAATGCTTTGAAAATGAATAGCTAATGAGGTTCATTTTGGGGTAAGACACCTACACACCGGTCTCTTACACCCTGTGGTTAGGTGGCTTACTTCTAACTAACACCCTTCCGTTTACAGTACTCGCAGACCGGGGCGTCCAGAAGCGACGATCACGAGCTGAGACTGCTCAGACCTCGCCCTGACTCGAAGTTACGACGCTGCTAATAGCAGTGATTCTCTGTCATCGTCGGCGAAGTCGTCCACAGTACCCAGTGCCCAGTGTGGAATCGGGAGCTGCCGGGCTATCGTCGAAAAGTTGAGACGCCGCCGCTAATAGTCAGTACTTATATACCAGCATCGGCGCAATCGGGGACTGCGCCCGGTATCGGCTTGGAAGAACTCTCCTCCGCGGTACTTTCCTCAAAGAGCTGCTACCAACCAAGGTCGTACGCGGACGAGCGACAACCAACAGTATATACAGCTCTCCATTTTCTTAGGCCAACTGGGGGGGGTGTGTAAATATAGAACACTTGCGCATGCGCAGGTAGGGCCAGAGAGAGGGGCGTATATACGACGTGCTACTAACAGCGCGTGAGCTTTTGGGGCGCTGCTTGCCCTGTGGCGGTGCGCTAAACCTACATAATCATTTGGGGTGACAACGTGATTTTCAGGTCCGTGTCAGTGGTCCGCTCCTTGGCGTCCTTGCTTTACGAAACAGGGGGTTGCAACCCCCTCCCTGGATCCGCCCCTGAACTAATTCTCGTGCCTTCGTGGTTCTGCAGCTCCGCTTCGGTTACTATTGCGTCATTCCAACCTCCCACGCGGGCTTTAGAACCACGATACTAAGCCGCCTCGTAGACAGACAGACACACGACAAACGTAACCCTCGCTGCGCATGCGCGCCGAGGGTTAACAAGCGCGCCGCTCACGTGGGCACCAGACTAGGTTATTAATACATAGCTAGCTAGCTGAGCATCTCGCGCTAAATCCAAGGCCGTAGACTCTTATTCGAGGATAGTTAGCTAGCTAGTTATAGCTAACCAGATTTAGTTTCCGAGAGTTTTTAAATGCAGATGTCAAAGGATTTGGAAGTGTGTATCCTGATCTCTGCCTGTATTCACTGTCTGTTGGCTCAGACATTTCCATATGTCAGCTTCAAAGGACAAACTCTCGCAAACCATAGCTATGTGGACCTCAGTCTTGTGGGGAGTAATGCCAGTGGTAGTGACAGTGTTCAGTGTCACACTGATCTGAGTACATGCTGTACTAGTACACAGGGTCACACAGAGGAGACTGGTACTTTCCTAATGGAACACGACTTCCATTCTCTGGCTCTGGCAATATCTATGAGGTTCGACTTGCCCAAAGTGTTACTGTTGGTTATAGAAACCAGAGTACTCCTACGTCTGGAATATATCGCTGCGACATACCAACCAATGCAGTTCATCATGCCACTGATATCAGTGTACGAGATACAGTATATGTTGGACTCTATCTCAATGAAGGTGAGCAGTGGTAGCAACACCGACAACTTTTATTGTCATTCATTAGGTGATATCGCCGTAGCTGAGATCACAACAATTTTAAAGATGGATAGTTGTATTTCGCAACTCATCCTCGCCTGTATCTCCACTGGTGGGCCTGCTACCACTGTCACTTGGACCAGAGACTCCACCACTGTCACCCATGAGACTGTGTTGAATGACCCAGTGACTGCACAGTACACCCACACTCTGACTGTGACTGGGACTCTGGTGGGAGGAAACTACACATGTACTGTGTCCAATAACAAGCCATCCAGTAAATCATCGAGTATCATAGTTAGTGGTAAGTACGGTGGTAATAGAGATGATAACGGTACACATTGTTGGTTCATTTGGCTATTCCAGTTCCATCTCCAACTAATCTGACCCTGGAGCAAAATAATGAGACAAGCATCAATGCATCATGGAGTCCACCTCCCCAGTCTGCAAACATTACTGGATACAGAGTGTTCTGGACTCAGTGCACCTCCTCTGACTGTATCAACCAAGCAATGTTTACTTCCTCGACAGTTGAAACACTGACAGGCTTGATGGCAGGGCAGTGCTACAGTGTTTCTGTGGTTAGTGTCTCAGATCTCCCAAGTAATATTACAACCCACAATATAACTTTAGGTAATGTTTTCCTTGTTGCTAAAAGTTTATGTCTCACAAAATTATATCTTTTCTATTTAAAGTTACCGATCCAAGTAGTTTCAACATTGATGTGGCATCTACTAGCCATGGTTTCTCATTGGTGGTAAACCTTAGTAACTATGTAGAAAATAATATCTATTGTATTATGACCAATGTGACTTTGTTGAGATTTTTGCACTGTAACAATGGCCTCGGAAGCTCTAACGTGACTGGCCAGATATATGATGTCAATCCAATGAATCTAAGTATCATCGGATTAGTTCCTAACAGTGAATACAATATCACAGTGGTGGTAAATAATGCTCTGGGAAGCAGAACACAGAGTTTTTCTAATCAGACTCAGCCAGCAGGTACAGTCATTAAAACCCCTATGAACCAAACCTTTACACATGTTATACCATCCTGCAGCACCATCTGACCCACCTCAAGACATAGTGGCTGTAAACCAGACCCTCTTCACCATCACCATCAGTTGGCAGCCTGTTGACTGTGCCCATCAGAATGGGAATATAACAGGATATGAAATACGATATAGGAAAGAAGACGGTGGAAATACCAAAGCAGTGTCGGACAGAGTCATAATAGGTGCAGATTATACCGTAACAGACTTGCAGCCATCAACTGCATACTTGATTAAAGTGGCAGCAAACAACACAGCTGGCAGAGGAGTTTTTGGAAACATATCAGCATCAACATTGCTATGTGAGTTCAGTACTTTGAGGCACATAATATGATTAGTTACCAAGTTCTTTTGTGTGCAGTTGAAGTTCATGTGATATCAACAACATCAACTTCCATTAACATATCATGGCCCGAAGTTGACTATGAAGTCCTAATCACATGGATCAGCACTCTATCAAGCCATTGTACACAAAATGTAGATCAAAGTTTAAAGAACGATTCTGTGAATGGGCAAGCCTCTTATGTGATAGATGGTCTGAAAGTATTCACCGAGTATAACATCACACTTTGCATAAATGGCTCTATCTGTACTTTCAAGACTGTAGTGACTAATGCAACTGGTGTGTTCATTTCATAATCTTGTACGATTCTTAAAAATTGCCCATTTTTTCAGCACCATCTGCATCTCCAAAAGGAATGTCATGGGAAGGAAGTTCATCGACAACCATCGCTATAAAATGGGGATCCTGTGCCATGTGCTGATCGCAATGGAAATATCACTAGTTATGTGGTGATGTTCAGAGAAAATGGGAAGGAAATGTTCCATAATAAAACTACTACTGGAGTTGATATGGAGTTCACTATCACTGGGTTAGAACCATCGACTGAGTATGAGATTAAAGTTGCTGCTTTCACTGTGCTGTTGGACCGTTCACTAATGAAAGCTTGTTTGCAAGCACCACAGGTAGCTATATGCTATGCATTATATCAGTACCCTGTATGTTTGCGTGCTATACAGACTCACCCAACATTGTAGTGACAACCACTGAAGCATCTCCTCCTACCACAGCAGACACTAGAGAAGGTGGCAGTAATGTTGGTGGAGTAGTGGCTGGTGTGATGGTGTCTGTTCTGTTTCTTATTGGAGCTACTCTGGGCATCATTGCTGCTATCTGGCTAATGAGAAGGTGTAGATGTGCACTGGGAATGTTTTTCATACCTACTCTGTTGTGTGTGCTCTGCAGGAAAAAGTCAACTATGAAGGGTCTTTTCTCAATCAGTCACTTTAAAGTCACGCGCAAACAAAGCACCTTGCCTCACTCTAGAGACACACGAGATATTTCTCTGGAGCAGCTTTCCAGTAAGTCAATACATAATATGGGTCTGCCCTAAGACTAGTTAGTATCTTGTTCTCAGCTGGAGAGAGTCTGGCAGGTGCAGAACTATCATCTGAGAAAGATGAAGTCAAAACACACTTTAAGCCTCACTCTGACAGTCCCTCACAACAGCCAGCTACAGTTCAACCTATACCCTACCTCTCCTATCTAGCTGATGAGGAGGTACAGGAGGAGGAGGAGGAGGAAGAGGCTGATCCTGTCCCCAAGCCTTCAGGTAAGTTTCATGCGAGACCAGTACCTCTGCCAGTGGCTCTGTTTGGGAGCAATGTGGAGAAGAAACACGCCAACAACAACCAGCCTTTCATGACTGAGTTTGAGGTAAGTCAAAATGTTACATCAAACAATTTCACTTTGTTGTTGTGTGGATGTAGGCACTGGGTGAT